CATTGGTTGGCCCGTCTATATGTCCTCCAAACCTGGGGACATGTGCATGGCGCCCTCAAGCAAACCCTCGGGCAGAGGCACGTCTGTGCTCTCGGACAGTGCATCCTCAACCATCCCCGATGCCCCAGTTGAAGCTGCCTCGCCCTGCGTCCCCTCAACCAAATCCTCGGGCATAGGCATGTCAACACGCTTTGTAGTGTCGTCCTCGACCATCCTCGACGCCCCTGCTGAAGCCGCCTCGCCCTACGTCTCCTCGCAGTCCTGTATCGGTGGATGAACGTGCCTCGATGCCTCTACGTCAAGGGGCATCGACATAAATGTCCCCAACTGTCTCTATCTCTCCTCGAGTGCAAGACGGACCAACTCCTGCGTCCTAGGGTCGCCTCGTGCCATGAGGCAAGCTCGGCGACTATCGAGTCTTTCCAACCTCTCTGCAGTGAAAATGTAAATCCGGGGAGTATGAGGTCCTCATCACCCTCTGCCTCCTCTGGCCATGCCCCCAACTCTCCGCGCATAGCAGGGGTGAAAGTATTTGGTTGCAGGGCACTGATCTATGCTAATACATCGTGCATGTCGACACTAGTGTCCCCCTGAGACACCCTCTTCGAGGGCATACCCAAATCACCAAACTCACTAAGGCCTCCACCACCACCCACCGACATCCCGTCATCACGAACGTCTCGCCCTGCATCCATGTCAACTTCCTCGCTAACCTCGGGACCCCCCCCAATGTGCCAGCAACAGACCACCATCTCTACCAATCGCCCCCTCTCTATTTCTCTCATCCCCCTCACCCGGTGAAGGACTGCCCACCAATCCCTCATCTAATCGTTGTCTCGAGCCCTTTACCAATCTACGCAGTCGGCCCCCAGGGGGCGAGCCCCGATGAAGCTCCTTTGATGCAAGTGGAACAATGGTGGATGACGCCATGCCACTACGAACATGTCCGGGACGCTGCATATAGGCGCCATCGCTACAAGATGACTATGTCCCCTCAAAGGTACAAATCCATGCACTGCCTGGATATCAACAGATTGGGGGCAAGGGATCACAGGCCTTTTTCGCTCAACAGGGCTCCCATATCGACCCCATAACTCCTCGCCCTACAAACCAGCTCCACCAAACAGGTCAACCCCACCACTCCGTCTACAGACATCCTCCGAGTTGTGCCACTCATCAGCCTCCTGTGCGGCAGGAGTATCAGTACACGGTCCCGCCCACTCGTCCTCCTGCACCTGGCCCTCGTAATCGTTGTCGGCGTTTCTCGGATACGGGCGCAATGTGGCTGCTCGAATCCCAAAAAACTTGGCAACCTCACTCGGAGGAGCTCTAGACCCGCACATGTCTCGCTGCCAGGAACGCCTCTTGCCTCTCCCGCTCCTCCTACGTCGTGTGTGCGCCTTCCATCCCACGAGGGTTGTGTCCCGATGCCTTCCTCCACGTCCAACAACGACTCGTCCACAGTCCACAACAACGCAAACCCATGGTCGGCCCGTTGATGTGCCAGAAGGCGGATGTTGGCCGAGATCTCGACCAATTTCGCAACCATATGAAACTCCCCCCTGTTTCGCTTCTCTGTATGCACACCGTCGTGGACGACCCAGTTCCTCTCTATGGGAAAGGATCACATCGACATGTGCATGACACGAAGAGCGATGGCCTGCAGCTGTGGGGCGCACTGTCCCCACTTCGACCACCGACTACGAGCCTCCTATGTCTCCACGTCACTGACGCACCGTTATGCCTCTTTGTTCCTGTCCCTCCCCCTCAATGCGATGCCCCCCTTCCGTGTGTGAAAGTTGTGTAGCTATGCACATGCGACCTCGTAATTGGGACTCGTGACATCGAACCGTGTCTGCGACCAAATGTACACCTCTGCCTCCCTCACTAGGCTTGCGTCGTGGTCCTTGACTACACCCTCATAATACCTCAAGTCCTGCCGGCTAGGGTAGAAAAGGTGAGCAGCGGCGTGTGCCGACTCCATCATGTGAGCGCACCGAGTCTGCACTTTCTACACAATAAAGTGTGCGACGTCCCGTGGAAGTACGTGAACCTCCCGTGCGACGTCCAGGGTGACGTCCTGTGTCTACTAAACCACCCTCGACATGTGCTGCCTTTCCCACTCTAAGTTGTGCATCACGTTGTACATATGCTCCATTATGCGGACAAGAATCTTCATGAAGTCCCACCAAGGGCCATGGCGCACCTACCACCTATCCCACCGAGCATGCTGTTGAACACTATTGCGCCAAGTGACCAAGCCCCAATCGTTGCTGTCCATCGTCCTCTCCAGCGCTGACCTCACTGCCAGCAAACGCTCCATCATTGCGAACACGAATGCGAACCATGTTTCACACGGATAATAAACACTCATCCACATAGTCTCGCCCCTGAGGGTATGTACAACGGCTTCGTGCTCCTTGATGAACCCCACCACAACTCTCCCACGCACAATGATGTCCTTCGACCAACTGCTAGACAATCCAATGTCTAACAACATTTTGTTGAAGACATAAACTGCACATGGGCGCCATCATCCATGTGAGTCGTCGATGCTCTGGCCTCTGTTCGGGTCCCTCTAGCATGTTGGCCGCGACATGCTGAGGTAGAGTCGGTACAGATGACATTCATCCACTTTGGAGGGAAATCATCGAACAATTATATCCAGCGTGCCAAGACATCGGGCGCCCGGTCCGTTCACCCTCCCTATTCATCGTCCTAACCATCATGACCCCCTGCAACCTTACGACAAGCAAGTTCATGATCGGTTTGGCATCATGTGACTTTCTGCCATCTGACATGATGGTATCCCCCGTTACATAAAACGGAGCCCTGACCTCTGTGAGGTAAGCCGGCAGATTGTCCGCAATGCGGACAACTGTCTCTATGTCCACGATCTCATTGTGTGAAGGCCACAACACATTCACTGGCCCCAGCAAGTCCATGAAATGTCAGACAAGGTCCTTCCATGGCTCGCTCCAAAGAACACTAAATGCTTGGCTGACTGTGGACAAACCTTAAGAACCTCTTCTTGAACTCCATCTGCCATTGTGAAGAGTAGGACTCTTTGATGGTCTGCCATTGTGAAGAGTAGGACTCTTTAATGGTGTTCTGCCTCTTCCGCTTTTGTGTTCCCTGCCTTGCCCCCTCATCTCTATCCTTTCTCTTCCCCACACCCGCCGCTGCCTCTTCCGCATCCTGATGCGCATGTGTGTGAGCTGACACGTGCACACCCTCAAAGTAATGGCCTTGCTGCCCCCCCGGCTCCTGCACAATGCTCTTCCCCTTCGGGCCTTCGCTCGATCCTTCCCTGACAGCCCGTCCCGCGCTTCCTCGTCCATGACGTTGTCAACGTCGACCACCTCCTCTGCACCCCTTGCCTCTCTCGCCCCTCCCCCGTCCCTGCGGGGATCCATCGCGGGCGTCGAACTGTGAACCTCCTCGAACAACTGCATCCGCTCAGGGATCTTGCCCTCCAGCTTGTAGTCCGTGTGGTTGTGGATGTCTACCAGTGCCTCTTCGATCATTGACGGACACCCCTTCCCGTGCCCGAAATGGTGCGCCACTACGTACTGGTTCCCCTGGATCTCATGGCTACACAACAGGCACTTCAACATGCGGTTCCTACGGAACTTCTGGCCGAGATCCTCACCCACGCGAATGTACTTGTACACACAACTCTTCCCCTTCCCCCTACGATTGTCATCTTCCCCAGCGTCCTCGAACACTTGTGCCTGGGCCCGCCCCATCGTGGCCGACCACAGAAGACGGTCGCAGTTGATCGACGCCCACAAGCGACCGCCAACGGTCCCATCAAGTGCCTCGGGCACCTCCGCATAGGCCCCTACTCCCTGCCTGCTCTCACCAATCGCCCGCGTTCAATTTTTGAACGTGCGCATTCAACAATTAAATGCAAATTCAATAAGTGAACGCGCCCATTCAATTTAGTCGTCGTCCAATGCGACGTCCATTGCTCCGCGCCGCCTGCTGCTCAAGCAGCCACTGCCGTCCACTCTCTCTCTCTCTCTCTCTCTCTCTCTCTCCCTCTCTCTCGCACGCGTGCGAACGAAGACACGTCTCTCTCTCTCTCTCTCTCTCTCTCTCTCTCTCTCTCTCTCTCTCTCTCTCTCTCTCTCTCTCTCTCTCCGCGTTCACGAGCTTTGAAACGATGGTTTCAGCGCTCGAACGGAAAGCACTGGAGCGAGGGCCGCTCGAATGGGCCTCCCACTTTTTTGTAGTGCACTGCACTACAAAACCCGGGGTCCCGCCGACCCTCCCTGGGCCTCCCTGAGTCCCTGCCAATTTATTTGTGTTCCAGTTTTTTTCTTTCGATTTTTTTTTTTTTGGCTGTGATTTTCTTTTTTTTCAGCCCGTTCGCCACAGGGTGTCTGCCATAGCCCCCTCCAGGCCAAACCCCATGCCCGACAGGCAATCCCCACCTATTCCGACCCCTGGCGCATACGCGTCAAACGGTCAAATGTGTTTTCCCGCGTTCAAGGAACGCACGTTCAATGCATTCAAAACCTGAACGCTGCACGCACGTTCAATAAACGCGCGGCAACACAGTGTGCCGCATGATGCACCGCAGCACACTCCCTGTAGCAGTGACAAGCACACAGAGTACAGCGACCTCTCTCTTACAAACAGACACATGAGCACAGCCTCCAATTTGCCCAATTGCAATCACGCAGGCAAGGCCTACATGCAGCAATGCAGCAGCATCATACTACTACAAAGAGAGAGAGAGAGAGAGAGAGAGAGAGAGAGAGAGAGAGAGAGAGAGAGAGAGAGAGAGAGAGAGAGAGAGAGTCCAATCGAGTCAATCACTCACTCACTCACTCAATCAATCAAATCAATCAAATCAATCAATCAATCAATCAATCNAGAGAGAGAGAGAGAGAGAGAGAGAGAGAGAGAGAGAGAGAGAGAGAGAGAGAGAGAGAGAGAGAGAGAGACAGGGTTTGCAAGATCCTCTCAATGAACGTCTACTTGCTCAGATGTCACACAGGGACTGAATCGATTGATATCTCATAATCCGCGTGCAATGAGCGCATCAGATAGGTTTCAAGTGTTTCATCTAAGACGTACACAATTCGTCTCATATTTGGTCTGTCCTCTGGCTCGAGCTCCACACACTGTGCGGCCACTCTGGCTAACTCAAAAGTCAGGTCTCGAGGGTAGGCAATGCCAAGCTGAGGGTCGACAATCACTGACACTTCTTCTGCGGAAGTCATCTGCTTTATGAGGGGAGCAACTGAGGAGGCAAGGGTTTTAGGTATGGAGGGTGGTTGGGGTGCAAGTTCGGAAGCTGCAGCTGCCGCTACCCTTTCCCGAGGCAATATGGCCCTTTGACCGGCGATGAGCTCGAGAAGTACAACTCCAAAAGAGTAGACGTCACTACTTGGAGTCACCTCTCCGTAGATCATGTACTCCGGGGCCATGTACCCCCATGTCCCGGCAACTTTGGTAGATACTGTGTCCTTCTTCTTTCTGGGTTTCCTTGGATCGCCCGAAATAGCACTCCCTCCACTCTCTCCCTCCGGCCTGATAAGCTTAGTGACCCCAAAGTCAGCGACTTTGCCCCTCAGATCCCGATCCAACAGGATATTCACCGACTTTATATCGCAGTGGATGTAGGCGGGACACACTTGGTCGTGAATGTACAACAAGGCTTGAGCTGCATCCAGTGCGATTTGCACCCTCGTCCTCCAATCCAGAGGCCCACCGCAGGCGTCAGGCGAGTGCAGGTGGCTGCTAAGCGTCCCTTGGTGGCAGTACTCGTACACAAGTAAGAGATACCCATGCGTGCAGAAGCCTATGAGCTCAACAAGGTGCCTGTGATGGACTTGACTTAGAATTTTCAGCTCTTTTTGAAACTCCCGCCGCCACGCCAATCTCATTCTCTTGATGGCCACCTCTCTACCCCGCAGCTGAGCATAGAAGACTTCGCACGAAGAGCCTCTGCCAATCTTGCTGTCGCTGGAGAATCCGTCCGTGGCCTCTTCAAGCTCTTTCAACGAAAAGATGACAAACTTTCTCCCATCCTCCTCCAGTGTCTTATGCTTGCCAGACTGCCACTTAATCTCTCTCCTCACTCCTTGTCTCCCTCTTTTCCCTCCTCCTCCTTTTCCTAACTTCTTGCCTCCTCCTCCTCCACAGCCATTTACAAATGCGCAACCACTAGCCTCCTTTCTGCGGCAAGCCTGGTCGTCCATGTTTTTGACCCCTCTCCACCTTTTATCGGGGGTATAATGCTGACGTGGTCGCTTTGCAGCCTTAAGGCCCTTAACCTTATCGCGGTCATCAATGCCATATGCTGGACCTTGGTGTTGACACTGTTGAGAAAGCCCAAAGGCGGGCCCGCAAGTTCTGCAACTAAGCTCGCGCGGGAATTGCCTCACGATATACACGATCAAAGCGCAGATAGCAACAAACATAACCACTGGGACCGCAATGAGCCCCCACAGCCATGCTGGCACTATTCTGCTCGTGCTTGCAGATGGGCGGGATTGCGATCTCGACATGCTTATCGTTAGTGATGGCGGGGGGGATGTCACGGCGGAAGGCCACACGGGTGACACGGGTGTCGGGAGAGACGGCAACACGGTCGTCGGGACACAAGGTGTCATCGGGATAGGTATAGAAGAAGACGACACCAAAGAGTCGGGTGCCGATGGCTCTCTATGGAAAATCCTGTGCGTCGGAACGATAAGAGGCCCTTCGAAATCGACAAAATCTGATCCGAACAATCCGTTAACCCTCTGAATGGCGTCCACGGTGGTGTTGAATCTCTGCGCCACGCCACTGGGCGTGTCGGAAGTGGATTTTGAAGAAATTGTGAGGTAGGACTCGAACTCGCGACCTGCTGATGATGAGTTACAAGCGCAGCGGATGGCTATTTTTAGCCTCCATGCCACATCAATAAAATCCTCAACGGATATGCCGTTTACTTTGACCATATCCGAAATGGATATAAGCGAATCATACTCTCGATCAGCAATCCTCGACAGGGTATCTCCGCTCTGAACGGTATAGAAAAGGTCGGTCTCATACTGTCGCCGTGATTCGTTGCAAGAGCATGCAACGGGAAAAAGCAGCAGCAGATCATTGTCCGGACCGCTGTCGTTCCTGAATGGATAACGATTAACGACTGGATCCTGTGCAAATCTTCTTACCACATCATCGAATGTGTCACCACGCTGAGGCCTGTAAACGACAAACGCTGTACAGTTCATGTCATCGCCCATTGCGGCACTACAGGATATTGCAAGAGCCGAAGGAAGGGTTGCACACATCAACGTAACAGCGGTAGACAATACGACAGCAACAAACGGTCTGACGACAAACGACCTAACGGCGACAGCAAACGGTAACATCCTAACAGCAAACGACCTAACGACGGCAGCAAACGGTCTAACGGCAAATGACATAACGGCAGCAGAAAACGGTCTAACGGCAAACAACACAATGGTGGCTAGAAATCTCAACAGCATGAGCAGTACATGAATGTAGCAAGCACCCGCCATTATCACAATTATAAATTTATGCCAATATTATGACTGGATGGAGCAAAAAAAAACAAACACCAAAACAAGGAAAGATACGAAGACAAATCCTCACCCATATGGCTTTTGGCTCCCCACATCACGATGACCCACGACCCATCAACCCCACATTTCTTCCCTTCTCCTCCTCCTTCCACTGCACAAAATTCTTGAGCAACTGTTGACTAAGTTGACTTGACTTGACAAATCCTCAGCTTGTTGAGCTTGTTGAGCTTCTTGGGCGACTTCATGAAATGCAATCGGAAAAGAAAACGGGTACAAGAGTTCAGGTAGGGTTGGGTAGGGTACTACATGCCCAAACTTTTGTCTTTGGGGGTGCTATTGAGTTTTCACACAGTGGCCTATGCGCCTACCAGATCATGAAATCTGGCAAAGAAACAGAGCCAGATTCGTAGTCCAGTAGAAAAAGGCCAAGGGAGGTCTAGCGATCGGAAGAAAGAACAAAGAAGGTTGAGTGTGTAAAACGTGGGCCTACTGGATTCAGAATCTGGCACAAAAGAAGAGTGCCAGATTTGAGGCTCGGTACATGAATTGGGAACAGAAAAATCCAGATTCGTAGCCCGATAGAAAGAGGCCAAGGGAGGCCTAGAGATCCGGAAGAAAGAAAGAGGAACGAAGGTGCAGTGAAAAAAATGGGCCTATCCAGCTGCGTGCCCAGCTCATATGGCATACTATTCTTTCGCCTTTTACTAAAGAATACTGTGGGCTGAGCACACTGAGCAGCTAACAACACTTTTTAATGGCCCTTCGCTCCATTGAAAGTCAAAAAAAAAAAAAAAAAAAAGTTGGCCAGATCTGAGGTTCGATAGAGAAGGGGCTCGTGGAGGTTCAGTTATCCGTGAAGGTACCTTTACTGGTCCATTAGTGAAAATTTTCGGCGTGTACTACCCAACCCGATGGCTTTGGGGGTTAAGCACCCCACTAACACGCTCTAATACCTTTATCCCAGCCCTGGAGGTTTTTGGGTGGGTGTGTTCTGACTGTTATCCCTTCACAATCCGCAAGTCACCCAATTGCTACCACCTTCTCCTTCTCCTCCTCCTCCTCCTCCTCGTCCTCCTCTAGGAACTCCTTGAGTAACTTCAACTTCTTGAGGGACTTGTCGAGTCCGGAACGCATTCTTGCTGTGGCAGACTTCCACAACTCCCAACTTGTTCCCTTCACCTCCTCCTCCTTCTCCCCTTTCCTCTCCCCCGCCTTCGTGCACCACCTCCTCCGTCCTCTACTCCGTCCTCCCTCCTCCTCCCTCCTCCTCTTCCCTCCCTCCCTCCCTCCCACCTCCGCCTCCCACTGTGCAACTCTTTCGTGCTTCCCCTTTGGCGATGATCACCCACCCCGCACTTCTTGCGTTCCTCCTCCTCCTCCTCCTCCTCCTCCTCCCCCTCCTCCCCTTCTGTTCCTCCTCTACAAGCTTTGTCTCTGGCGACCTGTCGAATCCGCAGCGCTTTCCCGCTCATCCTTCTGGCTGATTGATATCTCTGCATGCGAAGGGAATGTTCTGGCTGATAGAAGCCACACGAAGAGGTAAACACAAGCGACAATATTTGGGCGTTAAATTTTGTAATAAAATTATACATCACTTACCTTATTTAAGATTCACACAGGAACATAGCAAGAGCACAAAGCACAAATATGCTCACTCCGGAGCCATCAACTCTTCGCCCCCCACGTTCAACCCCCACTTCTCCCTGCAAGAACCTCATTGGGCAATTATGTGTTTATTATTCAAGTGAGTCAGAACCCAGATCTGGTCCACCACAGACACACAGAGAGAGAGAGAGAGAGAGAGAGAGAGAGAGAGAGAGAGAGAGAGAGAGAGAGAGAGAGAGAGAGAGAGAGAGNTGTGTGTGTTGCCTTTTTGGTTGTGGCGGAATCCTACCGAGCATTTTGCCACCAAACACGCCGTTTGCCACTCCCCCCTCAACTGTCAGTGGACAGAGTTAAATCTGTCTCTTATACACATCTAGATGTGTATAAGAGACAGTCATTGGGCAATTATGTGTTTATTATTCAAGTGAGTCAGAACCCAGATCTGGTCCACCACAGAGACACAGAGAGAGAGAGAGAGAGAGAGAGAGAGAGAGAGAGAGAGAGAGAGAGAGAGAGAGAGAGAGAGGGAGGCCAAAGTTAGACTGTGCTTTTTCATGACATGCTCACGTAAGTTGGTGCTATACACCAGTGTGATATTCACCCAGGCTACGGTTTGCCTGTGCTATTCGCCACTGTGGGAGGGCTTTACGGGGTCTAGTGACATACCTCGAGCCCAGAAGGGCAGCAGAGTGGACTGGGGTGGATCCCCTAGGGGTGCCAGGTTGGCGATGGAACACCAGTTTCGGTGCCCTTAGTTAGACGCAGTTTGGGTTCAGGGGTTACCTCAAGGTAGTTTTGTCGCCTGGATGTTATTCAAGTTCTGATGGGACGCTGGGCCAGGTTCCCAGCACGTGCTGCTCCCCACGAATAGATTGGAGCATTGTGCTTAGAAAAGAAAAGAAAAAAAGTTTGTGAGAATTGTCCTGTCAAGATCAGAGGGGTTGATATCCTCAAGGGGGTATCGTATTCCCCTTACAACAGTCACCATTTTCTGGGTAGATTGTGAGGACCCCGGCCTCAACTGGTTTCCTGATTGGGCTGAAAACTCGATTCATTTGTTTGAAACAAGGATCCCAAACAGCTCGGCGGTCGCTGGCATATATATCGTCACAATATATATATATATATTGTCAAATAGAACTGCCCGGTAAACCGTAGGCAGAGAGGGAGACGAGGACAACAAACGAGGGGCTGTGACAAACTGTTTCGTCGGAGTTTCACCGACTCATCATATATATATATATAATATATTTTGTGACGATATATATCTATATTATATATATATCATCAAATAGAACTGCCCGGTAAACCGTAGGCAGAGAGGGAGAAGAGGACAACAAACGAGGGGCTGTGACAAACTGTTTCGTCGGAGTTTCACCGACTCATCAGGAGGTTGAACCCTCAACAGTCTGTAGAATCCCCTCACTGATTACACTGTAAGTGATAATCCACCTTAACCAAAATCAAAGTAGACTATCACTCACCCACACCAGATGGAAAACTTTACAGACGTATATATATATATTATATATATCGTCAAATAGAACTGCCCGGTAAACCGTAGGCAGAGAGGGAGAAGAGGACAACAAACGAGGGGCTGTGACAATATATATATCTATTTTCACAAAGCTATCAGAGCACAAAAGCGAAAAAAACAAAAGGAAACAAAAAGGGAGTCGCAGCTACTGGCAGGTCTCGGTCTTTGTGTTAGCCAGACCCCCACTGGCGGCCCCAACCCTATACCCTAAACATTAGGGGCAAGGGGCAATACGAAATCTCCCCTTCACAGTGAGAGGAAACTATGCTTGCAGGGGTCCCCTCTAGATAGCCTTAGGAGTAGCCTAGTAGGTAGTGAAAGGCAAAAACAGAAGTTGAGAGAAGAATATAGAAAGAAAAGATATCAATTCATTTTTTATCTTATTACTTAGAACTCCCCCTGTTCAGAACCTCTTGCGTACAAGGCCGCCCATATCTGTGAATTGACCGGCCCTAGGTAATTCAGAATTACCATAGTATTTGTATTTCACTCATCTGCTTCCAGTTGAGTTCGAGCTCAGCACCTGCTCTGCATTTCAACAGTTCAGTTCAGGGGTCTACCAACTGAGCTAGGCCAGTTTGTGTTTACCCCTATTTACCCGAGACTGGATATTACTACTACCTTCCGTATTTGGTGCAATTGTCAGGCCAGATACAGCTGTAAGGACCTGAAGTTCTATTCGGGTGAAAACGGTAGTAGTAACCAAGGTACTCTTTGACTGCACCGCCATTTCCGATTGCCTTCTGGCTGCTCGCAGCTAGCCAAATCACACAACGTCAGCGCACATGCATGCGCGCTGACGTGTCGTACATGCATGCGTGCTGACGTGTCGTACATGCATGCGCGCTGACATCGCGTACATGCACGCACGCTGACGTGGCATAGATGCAGGCACGCTGACGTGGCATACATGCATGCTTCGGGTATGTAAATGTGAGGTGCTGAATGAGATCGCAGAATCGAATCCGAGCGCATGGAACCGACTGACGCGTGAGAGAATGTATGCAGCGGTCGAGGGGCTGAATGTGATCGCGGGATCAAATCCAGAGCGCGCTGACGTGCCGTACATGCATGAGCGGTGACGTGGCCTACGTGCGCGCTGACGTGGACTACATGCATGCACGCTGACGTGGACTACATGCACGCACGCTGACCTCGACTATATGCATGCATGCTGATGTGGCGTACATGCATGCGCGCTGTCGTGGCGTATATGCATGCTTCGGATGCGGAATGTGAGGTCCTGAATGTGATCGCGGGATCGAATCCGAGCATCTAACTGATCGACGAGGGAGAGAATGTATGCAGAGAAGTTAGGAGAGAACAGCGGAAAGACATGGGTGAGTCAACAAGGAGGTAGGCGACTGGAAGATTTGGCGCGAAGTCGAACTTGGCAGGAAGTCGAATTTGGTACGAAATCGGATTTCGTGCGAAATCGAATTTGGCGCGAAATCGAATTTGGCGCGAAATCGAATTTGGCGCGGAAGCGGCGCGAGAAGTCGCGTCGTATGGTTAAGATCCAATACACCCTGCGTGTTCCTCTGTGCCGAGGGGGTGGCGCTGTTTTCCTATTTTGGAAAGCGAGCTGTTTCTCGTGTTTGGTTACGTGAGGTTGTTTAATCGCCACTGCAGGTCGATTTTTTTTTGGAGTATTAGGGCATCGCTCCATCACGCACCGCATGCACAAGAAAAAAAAAAAAAAAACTTGAAATTTATGGCGGTGTATCTTCTCATGTTTTAGCCGTAGATTCATTCCATTTTGCACATTTGTTGCGCGGGGCCGCGGCCACCGCTCACCCCTTAGATTCTTTAAATTGCGCCCTTGCATATTTCT